CGTAACCTTGACTAACCAGCATAAAAATGGTTTACACAAGCGGTTAATACGTAGGAAATAAATGAGATTGTGTGTAAATCTTGGTTTGAAGGCAGACTATGCATTGTCGATTCTCAACGTTTTTAAACAAAGCTGACAAGCTGACGCTCAAACATGAACAGGAATCCTGCCTTTCAGTGTTTTGTTTACAGTCACTGATGTAGCGCATTTCGATGTAAAATGTGCAATGGTAATGATAACATAAATGTGATTTCTGTCTAAGTAGTATGTGATTACGCGAATGTGATATATTCGCAGACGTATCCTTGATTCAGTACCTCTTATTCATCCACTCAAAAGCAGATTTCAGTATCGCTAACAGACGAAATGCATGTGAGTCATTTCACTGTAAAGAAGCAGGGTAATCATAATACTGAAGTTAAATGTTTTAATGGTAAAAGGCTTTTTCATCTGACGAAGAATTCGCCTTGTTTCCTTCAGAATTCCTGCCTGTAAAATACTGAAGTCCTCTTAGACTTCATCTGCCTTACGTGTGTGAGATAGCGAATCCACAGAAAGGTTATTGTCAAGGGACCTAACCCTAAGTTGATTTTATGTACGAAGAGGTTTCGAATCGAAAATTACTAGCAACGATTGTCATTTTTAAATCCAAAACACAAGGACCAATAAGAGATTATCTTCTTCGGCAGTTCAATTCCAGATAGTTATAAAGTCTGTGAACAAATGTTTTTCTAAGAATGTATTGTACTTTTATTCCTATTCTTTCGTCTTCTTCCAACTTGTACACAACTGAATCATTCGCGTCTTCAAGTTTCCCGTCCATGGCTATCGAAGTGATGAACAAACGTTCAGTGTTCATATCAATTCGCAGTTGTGTAGTGCACGACAAATTCACGCCAGTGAAGAGTCTTATTTCTGGTGGTGAAAACTTTAGACAACTTTCGCCAAATGTCCTCGAAAAAACGAAAGCAGACTGGTTGCACAGTTTCGAAATGCTCCGATTTAAAAGACAATCCGTTAAGAAGATCAAATCAGAAGTGATAATGTTTCTCCATCAATATAAAAGTACAAAAACGGTACACAATGAAGAAATCACTAATTGTGACCTAATTCCTGCAGATCAAATATCATACAAAAAACGGATTAATGCAAGGCTGATGAGCAGCGCAGTATTCACGTACAACCACATACACACGCACACACTCGATGACAATAGTAGGTATAAAGCTGAAACGCACTCTCACAGTCAATGCGAATCCAACTCACTCATTTGACTGAAGCGTACATACATTGAGTATGTTTGGAAAGCTGTCGGTGGTCGTATAGACTTGGCTCTACGGTGTTCATTTCTTCTCATCTTCATTCCTCTCTCACGATGTTTGTTTTATGCAAATAGTGTCACATTCGAAGCATTCAATTTCGTAGACACAATTATATTGGGAATGCTTTGGAACTTATTCTCCCTCCATTTTTATGTCAGTCAGTGTTGATATTATTAGTGAAGTTCGTTGGTTAGTCATTTTCATGATAATGTCAGTGATCTTTGATGTTTCTTCTTCTTCTTCTGTTGGCTTTCCATCGATTATCGGAGTTTGTGACGACGACCTTGGAAGAATTGAAACAAATGAAAGTCATGCTCTGATGGCGTGAGGTGATCTGAAGTCAAAGTATATGTTGGTGTGTTGTGTTCCTCAAGACAAATATATTAAAATATACATTTGAATCATTATCACTCTGATGTCTACTTCGTCAGCCTTAGTTATCACAATGACTCAATCATTTGAACCCTTAATCTAGAGCCGTCGGCAGAATTTCCGCGTTTCCACCTGGGAGGAATATATTATCCGAATTCCTTGAGTCGAGCACACTACCAATTACAAACAGCTATTGAGCAAAGGTGAGCGCGTTTTCATTGTGTTCGGTGAGTTGTTGAGGGAAGTTTCACCAGCCTTTCGTCAAATCAGTCATACTGAATGGACCGATCTTAGGAATTGGTGACCGAGCAATCTAGAGTGAAGGCCTAAGCTGTGTTAGATAGCGAATCAGCTAGAACACAGAAGAATATTGTGAAGTGAATCAAACAGGCGGGTGAGCGAAACGGATACAGCAGAATCCTAATCAATGTGATGAACAAGCCTTCTACATGCACCGAGAATCCGAATGGGCGAACACAACACACGACGCTAATCCTCTTCCCTCCTACCAAAAGCAATTCGCGAAATTCGTCGACATTTCTGATAATCCTGACTCTCAGATGTTGCACCAGAAGTGGAAACAACACATGCATAACATCTTCATGACATGCCTAGCTTAGTTAAATTGGCGCCACCGAGAACAAGTCTTCTTATTCAGTGGATGCCTATTTATTTGACATTGTCCTAGTCAAGTCAGAGAATCACAGTAATACATAGTCTACAAACAACTTCCACCACACGACTGATAATATTTTTGCAACGTCATTTCTCCAGTGGATACATGAACTAGTTTTTTCGGCCAGTCTGCACTCCACCACTATTGAGGAACTGACAAAATCGGTTGAATGGATAACAGACTGACATTTACAGAAGCTGACGCCTTCAACTTGAAAATCACCTCACATCACTTTAATGTTTCACTGAACGGTTTCCAGCTCAAGTGTGATTGATGAAAGGTATAATTAGAAGGATTATGGAGAGTTGATTCCGGTTGAAATGTCGTCCGATACATATATGTGAACGTGTGCATCACCAGTGAAGATGAAGCAATATAATTGTGTCTCTCAGTATTTCTGAGTGATAAGGAAGACACCCAGACGACCAGACACGAATGGCGACTATTCATGATGAGCACATTTCGTGGGGGAAATCAAACAATTCTACTGGTGGCAACATGAATTCCAGGTGTTCGATATGAACGCATAGGATTGATCGACCGATGATAGTCGATGAAAATGAGATTGACATGCTAATCATTCCTGTGGCAATCTCATTTTTACCGACTGTCGTCAGTCGCAAGTATAGTTGATTGTGACATAATAAACACCAGACACGTCATGATCTGGTCAAAGAAGAAATTGATTTGATGCTCATGAAATTCCACACATGAATACTGCACACAAATTCCGAGCACTGGTAAACAAAATCAGGACACGACAAATGAAGTGATCAGTTCCATGAGAATATAATTGAGAGGTCATTTCAAATAGAATTTCAGCGAACCCTGTAAAATACATATTTGCACAGAAATAACAAAGTATTCCCGACACATTTTGTAAGCTTTACTGATATTAAAGCCTATTCGATTGCATACAGCCATATTTTATGTTCAACAATCTCACAAAATCTGTTAAGAAGATCAAATCAGAAATCATAATATTTCAAGTTTCACATGATGTAACAACAGAAGACAAGGGCCAGGCAACAGATTGTTTTATTACGAAAATCAACGCGTATGTATATACATATATATATATATATATATATATATATATATTATGTACATTAATAAGGCTTATGCAAGGAGACAAACACAGCCTCCTGATTGGTTGTTTTCGATATTTCTCGGGAAGAAGAGCGATTTATCTGCGAATCATATTTGCCCACGTTTAAGTCTGATGTGATTGGTTGTTGAATCAGCCTAGTTTAATGTCTAGCAATCAGCGTCGATTTATGTCTAACAATTGGCTAGCAGCCTGCTCTCAACACAATGAAAATACGAAACAGCACACAATGCGGAAATCACTAACTGTGACCTAATTCCTGCAGATCAAATATCATACAAAACACGGATTAATGCAAAGCTGATGAGCAGCGCAGTATTCACGTACAACCACATACACACCCACACACTCGATGACAATAGTAGATATAACGCCGAAACACACTCTCACAGTCAATGCGAATTCAACTCACTCATTTCACTGAAGCGTACATACATCGAGTATGGTTGGAAAGCTGTCAGCTGTGCTACTCTCACTCGTCCTCCTGCTTCACAATCTCGGTGAGTGACACTATTCCTTTCCTCGAATATCACACATCAACTCTGAATACTTCCACAAGTCATCACTGTGTCACTCCACGCAAGCCAACCACTCGTTATTGCTCTACACCAAATCTACAAACAATCCACTCACAAACTACACCATAACACTCAACGACTCACTCACTCACTCACTGTCTGCCCAACTCCATCACTCAATCACTCACTCACTCACTCAAACTCTCACACTTGAACGCACGTCTACAACCAATCTGTAGTTCTCTGTCTATCTCTCCTTTCCATCTTCCACATTTCAGCTGACGTACACGCCTGTTCGGCTTACGGATAACCATGCACAAATACAAAAGACTGACGTTGGTTGGCCAAGTGAAAAATCGATTCACCGACAAGTGGAAACATGCGTCCCATGTCTTCCGGACAGGTTCTACTGTCACAATGATCAACAGTGTTGTTATGGTCATTGTTCTCAGTGAGTAAGGGCTGGCTTCATAGCATATTCCTTAGTGGCTTCAGAAACAAACAGAATCCTCAGAACACATTAACGGTGTGAATGTGGACAGACATAGCTCCTCTGGGGTGAAACATGTTATGGAGAAAGGACATAAAATTGATGCTTAACAGTTGTTTGAACCTATCTATAGAAAGTGTTTGGGGCGTATTCTTAGGTTTGTGGAAGCACTGGAAATTAGAAAGTAAAAATAACATTCATGCTTTCAAAAACAATTCGTCATCACGTTAAACCTTCCTAGGTGGAATTTGCTTTTCTACTAGAATAGATGCAATATAACCCCTCATATTAGGTTTAGTGACGTATATTGTTATTTAAATTAACAATAGGCCCAGTTAATCGACCTAAGTATATTTTGTCCCTGCTTTGATCTTTATCAGTCTCATATATCTTCCCGTGACAACTCCGTGTTATTGGATTGTTACAAATGTGTTGTAAAGAAGCATTACACAAATTAGATAAATTAATTCTTCGTATCGCTTTGTGTTAACACAATCAATGAAAGGTAGGCGATTTGGAAAAGAAATTGGCTTTATTTTTCAGATATCAAAAGTGACACCGGTATGACTTCACACTCAAACGAACAGTCTTCACGCATCATCCACTCATCAATATTGATAATAGTATTGGCGACTAGGAACCATTTTCGGAGAGCCAGAATACGAATATGACGAGTAGTAGGATGGCACCTGGTTTGAATTCGCTTGTCCGTAATTCGATTGTTGAGCGTATGTGTTGGTGTAGTATTGTGATTGTTGGGTGTTCGTGTTTCCGCTGTATCCATTGTAGTTGTAGTTATTGGTTCCAGTATTCTGTTGTTGTGAGTTGGTGTTTGTGTTGGTGGCTTGTGGTGATGACGATGATGTTGAATATGGTGGACGACCAGCGTAGTTCCCTCTGAAATAGATGCAGCGAATGAGAGGAACATTCATGTAGTGAACTGACAATGAGTGAATATAACGTTTAAATGCACTGATAATGCATATGCGCTAACGGTTTCATAGACGTTCCTGACACTGACAGGATAAATCCAAATTCATCGGAGTGAAAAATCGACCTGATGAGACAAACAAACTGAAGAAAACAATATGAAGTTGGCTAATGAACACTGGAAGTTTCTATCTGATATTTTATTCTATTTCCAGTGGAATTGGAGAGCACCAATGATGACCACTACTTACTACCATTCATCATCGAAAATAGAGGCTGACGACACACACAGCGCCGTCTGCATTTCAGGAGACATTTCAACTTCAGTCGTCACTCACAGCAGGAAAGCCACAGACTGACTGCATCTCACGTAAGATGATATCAGCAAGCAACCGAAAATTCTCTCGACCTACTGACTTTATAAGCATATTGGTGATGGCAAACGCTGACACTCAATATAATACATTAACCATGAAGTCAAATATGGTAGGTGTGGAACTCCACTGCAAGGAGTATATGATGCTTGTGAGAACTGTCCAATAAAGAATTAGCTGCATGGAAATGAAATGATTATTCGAATCACTCATTCAACACACTGACGATCAAATTCTCGTTCTCGAGGGAAATGTGAAGACAACAGAACGTGTCACCATGTTCGGACTGATCTGTGAATTCGGAGGTGGTTCACACTATGTAAATTCAGAGTGCATGATTGGAAAGGCCAAAGTGAATTGTAAATTCACCTTGTCAGAGGGGTCACCTAAACACTGCTAGTTGGTTCTATTGCCACATAATCGAACGTTCATCAACTACTCATTGGTGAATTGCATTGGTGAATAGGAAAATGCATTGCAATACTCACTTACCCTGGACCATAATTGCATACAATACTCAAACCATAGGGGAAATTCGGACAATTGGTGACACCACATCCAACATCGGTGGTCGACTCCCAGACGATCTGAAACGAATAAAGAGTGTTAATGATGATGGACATCATTTGTGGGGTAGATGAAATACTTCTACTAATGACAGCATTCATTCGACTCGACCGAAGAGGACCAGTTGGATTGATGTAGCTTTCTATTGGCTGTCGTAATCACAGGAGTGCATCCTGACTACTATTACCAGAGACATCAATGATTCGATGTTAGACGAAATACAAGTCACATTATCATTTGGTCACAAATGAGGCTGAATCAAGACTAATGAAATGTCACACGTGCATAACACACAAACTCTCTGAGCACAAGAAAACATAATGAGGATTGAGTCAGCGTAGTGGTCAGTTCAATTCACCGAGATCCGATTGACTCTCATATTAGAATGAATATTCCGTGTGACAGTTGAACTGTATTCCGATAGGTATCCATTGATGGACTCAATCCGATAAGCTTGATAAGAACTCTGTGTCGATGTGAACCATTGTCATACATTTGAAGAAGTGAATGGTGAAGCGTTCTTCGACTCAGCTGATTCGTTCACAACGACAGTGAGTGATTCTCGATCGACATTCTCAGTGGGACATCAAAAATACTGAATGAGACATTATAAATTGATCTTCGCTAATAGCCTACTCAATGGAAACAGCCTCACAGTGTTGATTGGCTGTCTAACCCTCGAGTCATTCCTAAATCTCAGTGGCAAAATATCGTTCCACACCATCAACTCCGGTTCATCCAACGAAAATCTATCCCGAGGAATCATTCTATGCAAAAAAACATAAGAAAGATATATTGATAAATCATAAGCATCCACTTTCCACTACTCACTCACCTGAGTGTAATGACCACATTGACCCGCACGACATGTTCGACTGGTGAAGTCGTAGTTTTTGTATTCATCCAACCACATCTGGAAACCACTTGACAGTGAAGAAGTGAAAAGAGTGACAAACAATTTATATCAGTCTGGTGGTCACATCTATTTACAAACAGTAGATATTTCGGTATAGGTGAAATTGATCACGTAATTAGTGATGAAACACATAAAAGATATTTCTTGAAGCCATCTAGTAGCAACTAGGTGGTTCATTTATTTAATTGCATAGATGTTTTCCTATCTATGCATTGTGCATCGGTACGCAAATTCCCTCTGCTTCTGTATATGGAAACGACTGATTATTACACTGACTATTAGCCACATAGAAACATGTTTACCAATGGTTCGATGGGAATATATCTTCGTACATATCACTATTATGTAGTCGTGTACCGCTGAATGACACACTTCATTTGAATTATGTTCTACATTCCAGGATAACAATATGAGTGGTCATAACAGGTGAATCTGTGCCAAAGATATAACGTTTAAGCCATATCACAGACAGTCTCCAGTCATTGATTCTCACCATCCAGAGAACTCAAAAGAACAGTCTTCATCTATTTGTGTGGCTCGAAACAACACTCGAAGTCTTCACACCATCGTTATCAAATGTGAGATAAATTTGAAGCTTAATTGAAATTGCGTACTATTTATATCACGACATTACCGTCGAGTAATTGTTCCACATTCTGCACAGTTTAATATCATTAATCCGTATTTCATTCAATTAATTCACAGTGATTCAGGGAAACTTACGTTTCGACATCTGCAGATCCCGCCCAATTCTGTCCAACATAATCGAATGGGGTATTTTGCGCTCGTCAGCTGTGTCGTGTCCAACACGGCACTGATCAGACAAGATTTGTGCTTTCCTTTCCAACTCCATGTTCCATCTCTGAGCATGTGTGAAAATGGACAAAATACATTGGTTGAAATTAGAAACGATGCATGGATAAGTGGAGACATTGAAAGACAACACAAACGGTAAACTCAATCCAGCGATATACAGTGAATGAATAACTGGACAGACAGAGAGTGTTTGAGTAGAATGCTCATGGTTGACAAAACAAATCTCAGTAGTAATAGGCTTCGAGGATATCCGCACCTATTCTCAATGAACAATCGTCAACACCATGAGCGACACAAAACGCATTGGGGAACAGTATGCAGAGATGATACAACTTGATCGAATTCAACTCCCCCAGTCTTGTACTACGGAGGATCAGCAGACGATGCTGACATTTTCACACCATCTCACCTCAAGCGAATAACCCAATGTGGTCTCAGGTAATCCAGACATTACTATCAGTCTATCCATCAGAGACTTATCTACAAAGGAAGGCAAGTTTCACACAAGTTTCAACAAAACATTTAACACACACTCAACACACCAATCATGAAAGAGTAAACAGAACAACACATAGCACAAAACATCACCTCTGTGTATTGCAAAATATACCACGCCATAAACAGAAGAAATAAGCACAGATTCATATTAGCCAGTTGTGCCAATCATTTCACACACCCCATTTCAAAATATGCTTCCTCTCACCAGTGGTTTGATAGACACGGCCATCGGTTGTCCACTCAACTGTCCATTCTGAACTGCTTGTCTGGCGTTGTTGTGCAGAGCCAGCAATTTGTTTCTCATGTTGTCGTTCATCTGTCCATGGACATGTCTTGAAATCAGTGATACGCATATGGAGGAGAGCACCAGCAGAAGGGAATCGGATTCCAAGCGCATTTCTACACCACCAAGATTCAGTCTCAGTGAAATCTGACCGGCTTCGTGTTACAGTTATTTCTCCAGACACCAACCATATTTATATGCACTCATGGATAAGAGAGCTGTGGAGTGAAATCTGGATTAGTATGTCAATCACGCGAATGTTAATTATGCAACGAGGATTAGGGTGTGGCGAATTATTAGTTGACTGGTCGACTAGTGTCACTCAGTTGTGGATTTGTGGATGGGCGTGTACAGATTATTGTCTCAATGAGTGGTCTGGAGTGTTCTCGACGCACCCCTCCAACATCGTGTCGGTAGAGGTGAGCGAACACTTGACGATGGGATTAGTGACACTTGAATGGGATTGAGTTGTGTTGGGTGGGAGTCATTAATAATGAATGGAAGATAGATTGACAGAGAGTATGTGAATAATCCGTTTTAGGAATTATTGGATGTTTTCTGTGAGAGTGAGTGAGTGAGTGAGTAGGTAAACTCGAATTCCACGTGTACTTGAATGACTTGATTCTTCTTCATTAGGTGAAGTGAATGTCGTTGTGTCTGAGTGAGTGTGTGTGTGTGTGTGTGTGTGTGATATTCGGAGATGGAAGTGTGCACACCTCCAGATTCTACTTCATGAGTCGACCAGTATGAATGACTGAAATATCCACCAGTGAGTGAGTGTTTCACACATTCGGATTTGCATTGTGATGGATTGCATGTTGCATACTGTGATGTCGTCTCATACGGACAATAGGTGGGGAAGTGTTGTGCTCTATGGAGTGCTGGACATCGGAAATAAACTTTGCTATTGACTGGAATACACGACCATAATTCTCAAACTGAGTTTTATTTTCGACAGGTTTCTGTGCCCTATTGCCAATGGAATGTATTGGTGCTGACTGATGATAATTTGTGTTTGTTCACGAATTACGTGTAGTGCTTCCTGTGGTCATCGGAAGTATGTTAACTGAGACTTCCATATTGAAATGTTGCTAGTCTGCAGTTGATTATGTATAGAGAGTTCAACGAACTTGTAGAGTGTGAAGCATCACTATGTAATTCATCGGCTGGTTGCATGAGTTGTGCACGTGTCACCTTCATATCTTATCTCCTGTCTCCTATTTGTTAAAAGATGCTGAATGTGTGGTAGATTCTATCACTTATTAAACAGCCACTATTACCTTTGTGTAGCTATGCAGGATAGTCTTCTTGGACAATTTTGGACGGAATACTCGTCGAACGAAAAATATACCTGGCTGGCTCCACAGCAACAGATGAATTGGTATGCACATAGAAGTGGTCAGATGAGAGATCTTGTCCTTCAAGCTTCCACAGACCGATGGGCGACTGGAGAACACTACTCTTGGCGTGGCTGCGAAGAATGTATTTCTCAAAGATGCTGAAGTCCTTCTCTCGAGGATATCGCAAGCTCAGTCTCCCTTCAAATCCAGATTCGTGCAAAGTGCTTTTTTGAAACAAGTGGTGTTTCGTTTCTCTGAAGCTTTGATTTGATATTCTTGCAGATGAATCTTGACGGGTATCTATTTGGGTTGAAGGTTTCTTCCAGAAGATCAAGTTCTGCTTCCACGTCGTCAGGACTGCAGACGCGTCGGATCCTAGCGGCAAGGGATTTAATCAGGTTTCCTTTCCACTTTATAGGTATGCAACTGCATCAAGTTCTCAGTTGACCGTTCCAAGTGGGTTCACAATGGAGTGATCTTCTCAAGGTTCCGTTAGGTCGTATTTTTACTTGTGCATCAAGAAAGGGGACTGTGGATTCTTATTCCATTTCTAGAGTGAATTTTATAGTCGGAGGGTGGATGTTGAAAACTTGTAGCAACTGATTTTTGTCATAACTGTTGTCGCAAACGATGGAATTGTTATCTACGTATCGTTTGTACGGTCGCAAATTGTCAATGGATGTATGGATGCATAGATGTTTCCTTATAGGTTCCAGAATATCAACTAGTCAGTTTACAGCAGAATGATAAGGGGACTTGACATGTCTAGAATTGAGTGGGGTGGATCACCAACTTTGTGCATCTTTGGTAAACCAATATGAATGTACGCGTGGACACACATACATAGGGAGGACTCATCGATCTCTGCAAGTAAGGGCTGGCTTCACAGCATACTCCTTAATGGCTCCAGAAACAAATGGAATCATCAGAACCTATTAACGGTGAGAAGAGGAGACCTAGTTCTTCTAATGCAAAACATATTATAGAGACAGGACATAAAATTGACGTTAACAGATCTTTTGAACCTATCAATAAAACGTGATTGGGGCGTTTTCTAAAGTTTGTGCAAGCCCTAGCAATTAGAAAGTTCAAGCTACCTTTATGCGGTCTGAAACAATTCGTCATAACATTGAAGCTTCCTTGTTGAATTTTGTTTTGATACCATAGC